TTTTTCCACATGAAGGCTTCATCTCCCCAGGAACGACCAACTAAGAAACACTGCCATGTATGTTATGAAGTATTACCTGTGTTTGGAGAAGAAAGCTGGTATTGAGTATCTCTGGCCAAATTTAGGATTCATTTAATATTCTCCAGAATTCTCTTCACACCTTATATTCAACAGGCATACAACAAGCGCCCTCCAAAGTTGGGGCAATCTATGAACAATTATCCAGATAAGACAAACATCAGCAAATATGCACACGAAAAGACACTCAACACCATAACTCATTATGGAAATGCAAATTGGAGCCATAGAAAGATACTGCAATAGAATGACTAAAGTGAAGAAGACAGACCATAGCAGGTGTTCACAATGATGAAGACTGACTGGAACTCTTGTATATTGCAAATGAAGTAAAATGTGTTATACAACCAAAATTGTGCAACCACATTGTAAAACAGTTTGGCAGTTCTTAAGAAAACAATAAGCACATCATATAACCCAACTATTTGGCTACTAGCAATTTACTCAAGAAAAATAAGAGCAGCAGTACACAAAAAATTGTATATGAATGTCCAGAGCTGACTGACTGGTAATAATCCCAAAATGGAAATCATCCTAATGTCATCAACGGATGCATGCATCAACAAGGTGTGGAATATTCATGCAGTGGAATATTACTCAGTGATAAAAATGAATGGACTATGGATACCCAAGACATCATGAATAAACTCAAAATAATGATGCTGAGTAAAATAAACTGGACGACCTCCCTATACTATGTTGTTCAATTTATATGAAATTGTAGAGAATTCAAGCTAATCTATGGTGCTAAAATAGCAATCAGTGGTTGGTCAAGGACTGGGATGGAGAGACATAGGGAGAAGGAAAGAGATAGCAGCAGGAGAAACTTTGGAGGTGATAAAAGGGGTTAGTACCTTGATTGTGGTGATGGTTTCACAGTATGCATATGGCAGAGCTGAGTAAACTGTACTCTGGAAGTATTACAATTTATTGTATATAAATTATAACATCAATAAAAAATTTTAAATGTAAATCATATGCATGTGTAAAGAAATTGTGATTTCAGGTGCCTGGCATTGTGGCATAGCTGGTAAAACTGCTGCCTGCAATGGTGGCATCGCATATGTGTGCTGGTTCAAGAGTGGTCTGCTCCACTTCCCAACCCAGCTCCCTACCATTGGCCTGGGAAAAGCAGCAGAAGATGGCACACGTGCTTGGACCCCTGCTACCCACGTGGGAGACCTGGAAGAACCTCCTGGCTCCTGATTTCAGCCTGGCCCATTCCTCGCCATTGTGGGGAAGTGAATCAGGGGATAGAAGATTCTCTCTCTCTTTCTCTCTTTTTCTCTTTCTCTCTCTATAACTCTGACATCCAAATAAATAAACAAATCTTAAAAAGAAATGGTGATTTCAGAAGTGAAAACTTAGAATGGTCTCTGGCGCATTGTAAGAATCGGACGAGTGGTATATCTTACCATTATTATTCTGACTGTCATCCAAAGGGTTGTTGCAGAGTTGTTGCTGGCATTAAGTCTAATCTGTAAAGATCTACTTTCTCCTCTCTAAGGTAATTGCCTGCTTGTGTCACTGCTCAACCATGACAGAGTTAAAAAAAAAAAAATAGGGCAAAGCCTTAAGACTAAATTTGACCAAAGGACATTTTCCCATGTGTACGTATTATACTCTGAGACGTATATCAGGCAAACAGAATCTGCTCTGTGTGAAGTCAATTGTTCCTACTGAGGAAGGCTTTTGAAAATCCTTAATGAGACACAATAATTCAACATTACTAAGCTCCAGAGCTTTCAAAGTTATTCTCCAACCAAGTCTCCCCTTTCACTCACCCTGCATGAATTAGCCTCAGAAGTTTCTGAATATTTTGGTGTTTCTTGGGAAACCGGAAATGAAGCTAGCCAGCATCAAAGATTTGTAGGGCTCTAGGTGCTTTGGAAGTATGTTAATTTCATAAGTATATATATAAAAAAGTGGGGCCAGCACTGTGGCGCAGGCATCCCATATGGGTACGGGTTCATGTCCCAGCTGCACCTCTTCTGATCCAGCTCCCTGCTAATGGCCTGGGAAAAAACTGGAAGATGGCCCAAGTGCCAGGGCCCCTGCACTCATGTGGGAGACCTGGAAGACACTCCTGGTTCCTGGCTTCGGATCAGCTCAGTTCCGGCCGTTATAGTCATCTAGGGAGTGAACTAGCAGATGAAAGACTTTTCTCTGTCTCTCCCTCTGTCTGTCTGCCTCTCAAATAAATAAATTTTTAAAAATTTATGTTCTCTTTGCTCCTTCCTTCATTGTTTTAGTTCATGTTCTATTGCTATAACCAAATTCCTGAGACTGAATAAGTTGTCAAGGAAACAGTTTTGGGACTGGCAAAGCTGCTGTCTGCACCGCTGGGATCACTTTGGCAACTGGTTCATGTGCCAGCTGCTCCACTTCTGATCCGGCTCCCTGCAACAGCACCTGGGGAAAGCAGCAGAAGATGGCCCAAGTGTTTGAGCTCCAGGCACCAACAGGGGAGACCCAGAAGAAGCTCCTGGCTCTTGCTCTGGCCTGGCTCAGCACTGACCATTGTGGCCATCTGAGGGTGAACCTGTGGATGGAAAATCTCTGTGTGTGTGTGTGTGTGTGTGTGTATAACTTTGACTTTAAAAATAAATGTCTTTAAAAAAATAAGAGAATAGATTCACTTAGCTCACAGATTTGGAGGCTAAAATTACGACAGTACTTCAAAATGTTCAAGGAAGATGAAATTAATTAATTTTGATACAAAGTAGTTATGAAATCTATGCATATGAGGGTTTTTAAAGACTTCATAGCAAACACATATAATGAAAAATTATGTATGGATTTCAGACATTTTTGCACCAAAATATACTTACCTTCTAAGTTAATTTCCATAACCTTTTAATTTATTTGAGAGGCAGCTAGTAGAGAGCTCCCAGGTGCTGGTTCATTCCCCAAATATCTGTTTCTGTGTAACTCTTTCAAATAAATAAATGAATCTTAAAAAAAAAACTCTCTGAAGACCCCTGGTACTATCCACATTTTTTAAAAGATTTATTTATTTGAAATTCAGAGTTACATAGAGAAAGAAGGAAAGGCAGAGAGAGAGAGAGAGAGAGAGAGAGAGAGGTCTTCCATCCACTGGTTCACTCCCCAATTGGCTGCAACTGCCAGAGCTGCACCGATCCGAAGCCAGGAGCCAGGAGCTTCTTCTGGGTCTCCCATGTGGGTGCAGGGGCCCAAGGACTTGGACCATCTTCCATTGCTTTCCCAGGGCACAGCAGAGAGCTGGATCGGAAGTGGAGTAGCCGGGTCTTGAACCGGTGCCCATATGGGATGATGGCGCTTCAGGCCAGGGCATTAACCTGCTGTGCCACAGTGCCAGCTCCATCTTTATTTAGATTTTTATATAAAATATAACATTCTTGTGGTATGTGGTTATTACCTCCCCACCAATGGAGAAACCTACACATAAAGAGATGAAGTGATTGTGTCTCTGAAATCATGTACAATGAAGACAGGATCTGGAGATAATCTTCTCTAGCTCTAATACGTGTGCATTTTTTTCATGCTCTCCCAAAGCACCCTACTTTTATACTTGCCTGATGCATTCTAATCACAACATCTAAGAGTTACAAGGTATCTCAGTCCTTATGTTTTTCAGGTAAGGAAACTGGAATCCGAAAACACTGCAAGGCTGATCAGAAACCAATTTGCTAGTGAATAGTTAAACCAAAGCCAAAACTAACATATCCCAGTTTCTAAATTAGGTACCCTAATTTCTAAATTGCTTCACAATTCACCTATCAGAAACAGGTAATAATAATGCCACCCTGCTAACAATGCTGGCCGAAGCACTCTGTCACATGGTTAAAAACCTTAAGAGGAGGTTGAAGCAGTTTGTTGCTATTATTGATAAGCATGCAGAATGCTGACATGGGTCTCAACATATTCCTTAACACTTTTCTCATTTTCCACTGGGAACCACTGAGGGTAATTAATACAGAGAGGACGCGCTGAGAGTTCCCACGTTGACAACAAGAGCGTTTCCTGGGAATGCCAAAGCCTGTTATTGAGGTTTGCACTTGACTTCAGGGAACAGAATTCAGGTGTGTGAGTCCTATTAGGGTTGACAGGTGAAGCTCCATCTGCCACATTTTCGCATTGCTTGGCCCCTGGCACTTTCAGCAGCTTACTTTCTATTCCCCAGGGGTTTCTTTAAAGGGTGCCCAAAGTTTTGGTATAGGGTCCTTGTGACAGTAGGAGAAGATTCTGGCTACACAATTCAACCTTTCCCCACTATCTGCATCCCTTGTCAAGACAATCTCCATCACACAGGCAAAAGGCAGAGATGGAGCCAGGAGAGAAACTACAAGCTGTAAACCTCTATTCTGAGAAAACACATCATCCCATGAATGTAGCTTGTAGCTTTTGCTGAGAGACAATAAATGTTAGCTCTATGGTAGGGAGAAATGAGCAATCCTATTCCCAAGGGAGAGAAAATGCATCTCCACATATGACAAGTAGTTAACATTATGGATAGCATCAGGCTGGGTTCTTATCATGATGTAAATTTGCTTTCTATTCACTGACTTGAATAGTAACAAAAAATATTGAAATGTGAATGAAACACCAGACACAAATTTTATTACAGCTTCCAGGGAAATCTGACTGTAGGAGGGAAATGTTAGAAATGAACAAAAGCAGAGAGAAGTTAGTCAACTGTAATATTTATAATCCATATTGGAAATCCAATCTGGTTATTAATAATAAGCCAAATGCTTCTTGGAATGGAGAATTGTTGTAAGCTTTGCTGCCCTAATATAATCGAAGTCCCCATAAAGTTCCTGAGCTGGTTTGTACTAACTTGTCGACAAGCTTGTTTATCATCCCTTTTGGATGAAGCATAAAATGAAATTTTGACCACAGAGCTCATAAAATCTATCTCTTGCCTTTATTTTATCTAGGAGTCGACATACTAGCCATGAGGTTCTGGAGGAAATCTACATCAGATTTATCCTTTAGATGAAGCTGCTCAGAGACAGGACTCATATTTCTTGCAAACTCGGTGGAACACACAGGTTTAGGTGAGTTTGAAGGTATTCAGTGACAACAATAAACTGAGCATTTTTAAGACTTATAGGGAGTCAACAGAAGTCCTACATGTGAACTCCTACAAGTGGACACAGAATTAATTCATTCACTTATCTTTTTATTCTATGCACAGAGATTCCTCGGGCACAAGGCTTGGCTTTCAGAGGGCTGCTAATTTTTACAACAGGGCTAACTAGTTTTAAGCTATGGAGATAGGCATTTACACGCTGCTGAACTGGGTGCTCAGGAGTCCTTATTTGAAGAAGGGAGGCACACAACGTGTGACAACAGCCTTAGCAGTGAGGTTACTGGACAGAGCGATGTCTACTATCTCAATAGTCAGAGTCTTGCTTGGGAGGTAGCACACATAACGTGTCCTGAGGAACTGGTGAGCAATCAGATCAAATGTGGCCCATTCATTTACTACCATGTGGTCAAAAGCAGAAATCATATCTGTACATGATATTCTCCTTAACATAATACATTTTAATATTGTATTTTGGGGCCAGTGCTGTGGCATAGCAGGTTGGGCCACCATCTGCAGGGTCAGCATCCCATATGGGAGCTGATTCGAGTGCCAGCTGCTCCACTTCCAATCCAGCTCCTTGCTAATGCACCTGGGAAAGCAGGGAAGAATAGTCCAAGTGCTTGGGCCCTTGCACCCACATGGAAGACCAGGAAGAATCTCTTGGATCCTGGCTTTGGATGGGCCCAGCTCTGATCATTGTGACCATTTGGGGAGGGAACCAACAAAAGGAAGATATCACTCTCTCTGTCTCTCTTCCTCTCTCTCCCTCTCTATATCTCTTCTTTTCAAATAAATAAATATTTTTTAAAATTTAACAAGAGTATCTTTTAATTATTTATTTGAAAAGCACAGAGAAAAAATTTCCATCTGGTGGTTCCCTCCTCAAGTCCCCACAACAGACAGGACTGGTCCAGGCCAAACCAGGAGCACAGAACTCAACCTGGGTCTCCCCGTGGGTGCCAGGGACCCAGCTGCTTGAGGCATCAGTGCTGCCTCCCAGGGTGCACAATAGGAAACTGAAATCACAAGTGGAGCGGGACCCAAACCCAGGCACTCAGATATGGGATACAGACATTCCAAGGAGCATCTTAAGAGCTCTGCTGGCCGGTGCTGCGGCTCACTAGGGTAATCCTCAGCCTTGCGGCGCCAGCACACCGGGTTCTAGTCCCGGTCGGGGCGCCGGATTCTCCCGGTTGCCCCTCTTCCAGGCCAGCTCTCTGCTGTGGCCCGGGAGTGCAGTGGAGGATGGCCCAAGTGCTTGGGCCCTGCACCCCATGGGAGACCAGGATAAGTACCTGGCTCCTGCCATTGGATCAGCGCGGTGCGCTGGCCGCAGCGCACCCACCGCAGCGGCCATTGGAGGGTGAACCAACGGCAAAAGGAAGACCTTTCTCTCTGTCTCTCTCTCTCACTGTCCACTCTGCCTGTTAAAGAAAAAAAGAGCCCTGCTAAATGCTGGCCCCCTAAATGTTTAAGAACTAGCACCTGCAAGCGGTGCCCGTGTAAAATGTGCTTGCTTCTTGATGAATGGAAATCAAAATCTTCCCCAGGAGTAATTGTCACACAAAGCAATTTTTATTTACAGCAAAAGAGGACACCACAGGAAATCATTTGTAAAACCGCAGCTCCGTGAGCAGTTTTCTCTTATTTGGGGAAGAGCATGAACACTCTGAAGGGGAATTTTGTCATACATGTAGAGACAGGTACAAGCCTACGCAGACACAGTTTGGAGACATCTTTTCAGTTGCATCGCATGTAGGGTGTAAGCTCCTCGTGGGGCTGAGCTCTTACTGTTAGCACTAAAATAAACCAAAGGTGACTTTTGGACACTTGTTGGTCCCTCTGTGCCCAGCGTTGCTTCTGCAGTAAGCTTCAGATCAGTGCAGGTGCTGAGGAGAGCTTGTCTCCCTGTATCATAACTGAAAAGACAACTGGGGAAGACATCAGGTGCTGTGCGCCCTGGAAGCTGTGGGGCTTTCAAGCAGAAATGAGTCAAGAAGAGACCTGAGAGCTGTTTGAGGCATTAGACAAGAATACAAGGAATCCAAAAAAAACAGTAAAGAAATGAGAGAACATTAGATGTTAAGAAAGTCAACGCATTTGGTAGAAAATACATTTTTAAAATTTTTTCATTATTTGAGAGAGAGAGAGTGAGAAAGAAAAAGCATTTGAAAAACGCAGAATGTAAGAGGCTTCCTCATGAAGATCAGAGCTGTAATTGGAATTTGGGCCAGTTTCACAGATCAATGACGGAGCAAGCAGGCCCCAGCGGATATTTGGACCACATGTCTACAATATAACAATTTTGCATGTGTGACAATTTCAACATGTATGTGAAATACACTGATATGAGGGGATTATATAAAATATCAGAATTTCTTCTACTTCTGAGTGTTGTAGCTTTGAAATTTTTTTCCATTTCTATGTCCATCTATTCTTTATTTTCCAATTTTTCCACAATGAGTGTTTTTTATTGTAATACATGTTATTAACTATAATTTTCTTAAAATCTCAAGTTACAACTCTATCACTCATTTATTTCTAATTCTTTAGAGATTTTCTTGTTAACTTTTGGTTAAAATAGTAACTTTTACCATTTAACTAAGCTTATGACCATGTTTTAATATCTTTGCTGGTGTTATTTCTTGAATCCTTCATTTTTACTGCAAAATTCACTTTTCTTCATGTTCAAATAGTTGTTAAATATATTTCAGTGAGATTTATGAATGGTTATGAATGCTTAACTTCTTTATTTTGTCAAAAAAAATCACTGTTTTGCCTCCTGTTTTCAAAATAATTATTTGGTTGGTACAGAATTCTAAGTTGTTAGATATAGTCCCTTCAATCTGTCTTCTGCCTTCTGTTACTTATTATTGCTGATAAGAAATCTACTATTGTTCCACTTTACCTTAGAAATCTGTTATTTCTGGGGCCGGTACTGTGGCTCACTTGGCTAATCCTCCGCCTGCGGCGCCAGCATCCCATATGGGCACCGGTTTTAGTCCCAGTTGCCCCTCTTCCAGGCCAGCTCTCTGCTGTGGCCCGGGAGGGCAGTGGAGGATGACCCAAGTGCTTGGGCCCTGCACCCCATGGGAGACCAGGAGAAGCACCTGGATCCTGGCTTCAGATTGGCGCAGTGTGCCAGCCGTAGCTCCCATTTTGGGGGGTGAATCAACGGAAGGAAGACCTTTCTCTCTCTCTCTTTCACTGTCTGTAACTCTACCTGTCAAATAAAAAAAAAAAGAAATCTGTTATTTCTAAGAGTATTTTTTATTTGCACATTTAAAAGTTCTCAGCTACCTTAAACATACAGAAAGGTGTATTAACAAAGATACCAATATAAGCTGTTAATGAAGGAAACTGGATGAGGGGATATGGGAACTCTGTCTCACTACTTTCTAATGTTGGCTTTGTAAGCTTAAAACTATTCTGAAATAAAATGGTAAAAGGAGAGAAAGGTGTATGATGCGCCTCCACACTGTTGAGGAGAAAGCCATCATGTAGCTAACTACTCTGTGTGCCCACACATAGAATATCAGCAGCTCAGCTTACCCTGCACCCACTGCCAATCACAGTCTCTTCCCATTCTCAAAAAATGATATATATTATGCTCCTTTCTGATTTCTTTTAATTAGATGTTTTACCTGCCCTCTTAAAAGTACCTCTAAATCGTATAGTGTAGCTTTACCAATTTATGAAAATTATGATTGAATGCCCTCAAATAAAAAAAAAAAAACACTGGAAACCTTTATCATTTCCAGTAAGGTATTCTGGTAGCTTTCTAAGGTGCCCTCATACCTTGGTCTTTCATTTCACTGCAACGTGCCCACGGGTGGTGTCTATTTATCTCTCTCATTAAACAGGTGCAATTTTAATTTGAAATTCAAGCCATATTTTAATTTGTAAAATCCTTATCCATTATGTCTTCAAATGTGGTTTCTTGGAAAGCTCTGTTAAACTCCTTTTTTATGTACATTGGTGGCTCAAGTTCTATGCTCCTTGCCTCTGAATTACTTTCTCCTATATTTTCAGCAATCTCTGTCTCTCTCTTTCTGTGCTAATCTATATGATTTATTTAGAACAATCTTTCTGTTTACTGGTTTTATGCCTGTGGCAAGTCTAGAGTTTAAATATTTTAAATTATTTATTTCAATGGCTATATTTGTTTTGTTTCTGATTTCTAATTTTTTCTCATCTCTACCTTACTGATTTTTTCTCTGTATTTTTCATCTTTCCTAGTTGTAATACCTACACACTTATCACCCTTAATGATACAAATGTTTTATAAAATGTTGTCAGCATGTAATATTAATTAAATATCATCAAATGAAAACTCGTATTCTTATTGATATTTTTGCAATCTTTCTTAAGTTTTGTACTTGTATTTTGAATTTTTAGTTGGCAGCCATATCTGGAGGAACAGTTTCTCCTGTTTTCACTTACACTTACTCTTTAGTTGTAGTGTTGTCATTACCTGGTCTCCTAACAGGCTCCCAGCCCAGAGCACAACCTTGCACTGGGGATCTGAAGACAGCCTAGGTCTAGTGACTAAACTCTCTGTCTGCTCAGATCTGGTATCAGTGTCCTCATCTGTTTGTTTCCTGCCCTGGAGACAAATGAAAACAAAACAAAACAAAACATAACCATCGATTCTGGTAACCTCCAGCAGAAGCATTTTTCAGCCTTTTTTTTTTTTTTTTTTGAGTCAGAGTCAGACAGTGAGAGAGAGAGAGAGAGAGAGAGAAAGGTCTTCCTTCTGTTGGTTCACCCCGCAAATGGCTGCTACTGCCAGCGCGCTGCACCAATCCGAAGCCAGGAGCCAGGTGCTTCCTCCTGGTCTCCCATGGGGTGCAGGGCCCAAGCAATGGGGCCATCCTCCACTGAACTGCCAGGCCACAGCAGAGAGCTGGACTGGAAGAGGAGCAACCAGGACAGAATCCGGTGTCCCAAGCGGGACTAGAACCCAGGGTGCCAGCGCCGCAGGCGGAGGATTAGCCTATTGAGCTGTGGTGCCAGCCTTTTTTCAGCCTCTTTCACAAGTGAGTTGAGAAGAAAGATCCCCACCCATAGTTTGACCCATAATTTTGTCTTTACCTGCCATTCATTCCTCCTTATTTGAATCCACAGAGAAACTTGAAGAAACTCAAATAACAGTGAGAGCAATTACAGTTGCATGTAGAATACATGGATTAACGCACTGAAACTTGATTTTACGATAATCTAAGTAGAGAGGAGGCTGCATGATCTGAAGAAGAGTTTCAGAGCTGGGAGTGTCCAGTCTTCAGTGATCCCATCCTCTTCACTTCAGGACGGTGGAACTGAGATCCAGAGAGGCTGACATTGAGACCCCCAGCATCCGAGGAAGACCGGAAGAGTGGAACCCCACTGTCCCACCAAGGCCAAGCCTCTGATGAATCTTCTTTAAGAAAAGCTCACCCTTGGCCGGCGCCGTGGCTCAACAGGCTAATCCTCCGCCTTGAGGCGCTGGCACACCAGGTTCTAGTCCCGGTCGGGGCACCGGATTCTGTCCTGGTTGCCCCTCTTCTAGGCCAGCTCTCTGCTGTGGCCAGGGAGTGCAGTGGAGGATGGCCCAAGTGCTTGGGCCCTGCACCCCATGGGAGACCAGGAGAAGCACCTGGCTCCTGCCTTCGGATCAGCGCGGTGCACCAGCCACAGCGCGCCAGCCACGTTGGCCATTGGAAGGTGAACCAACGGCAAAAGGAAGACCTTTCTCTCTGTCTCTCTCTCTCACTGTCCACTCTGTCAAAAAAAAAAAAAAAAAAGAAAGAAAGAAAGAAAGAAAGAAAGAAAGAAAGAAAAGAAAATCTCGCCCTTAGTGTGTTGCTTAAGAGTCAAAGGATCTTACCTGCATGAGGAATTGGGAGTTAACCCTAACCCTAACCTAACCCTAAGGCTAGGACAATGAAACCAAACCGTGTCTAGACTGCACCACACCAACCACAGGGCTAAAGGAGGGAGGAGAATCTACACAGCTGTTTTTGCATTCAGTCCTGGTAGTAACACTATCATAGACGAGACTCAATCCTGCTTTCTGCTGTTTTGGGATGCAAAAGTCTGCTAGGCCCCTTGTGTTGAATTCCCACTGGTGATGGTGGAAAGTACCAGCAGTGTGCATATGAACAAGGTCATTCACATTTACAAATTGAATTCAAGTCTCAAGTAAGAACCATCTTAAAGCAGCAAAGTCAAAATAACTTACTACACACACAATGAGAGTATCATAGCTGGAAAAAAATAGGAAGTTCTTATTGAAATTTCTTTTCATTAAGGAATATTACCGGAATATTACAACTTTCAAAAATATGTATTCTGAGTAAATATAGATTCCCTTCCCCTTACGTCCCATTGACTAAAGGTAATAATACTAGAATCTTAATGATGCTTTATGTTTTTCACATATCTTACATGAACTAATTCTCCATAGGACTACGGGGATTAGTGTAATAGCCACTTGCCTCCACTCAGGTCTCCTTGCCAGGCTGTGACCCATCCAGCAGCTGCAGGAGAATCGTAGCTCTGACTGCTCTCAGCTGCCTTCCCCTTGGGACCTTGTCCTTGGCCTCAGAGAACAGTCATCCTCAAAGTTTTATCTCCTTCCAGTATGTGGCCTGGTGCTGCTCGTCACAGGGCAGCAGGTCCGATAGAGCTCCGCAGGGCCAGCCTGGTGAGCTCGGGGGCCGAGCGGGATGAGTGTGGGCGGCAAAGGAACCACACCAGAGCCGGGAGATCAGCCAACGCCCAGGGTGCAGCTGGGTTCTCGACTTTGTTGGGAGGAGGAAAGCTTTTATAGACACAGAAAGGGGGCTGTCCAGGGCACAGGGGAACCGAGCCAACCAGCTGAAAGGTAAGGCAGGACATGAGCCAGGCACACCCTCAAGGGCCTATCACAGCCAAGGACACATACTGTCCACGAATAAGGAAGTCTCCTGTCAGGCTAGGTACCTCCCCCGGGGGGCCATCTTGGATTGTTGGAAACGCTGAGTCACTGGAATGCGGAAGTGAGGCAAACTCGAGCAAAGGCTTAGCGGCCTTGTCAAGAGAAGGCTTAGCAACTTTGTTTCCTTTTCGATTGGAGCCCCCCGCAGCCTGCGACCTGTGGCCACCTCCAAGGAGCATTTCAGCCAGGAAACTTTCTTTGTCAACATCACTCCTGCTATCCAAATGAGGTGTTGTCAAGGCAATTGCTGGTTGATAGGGAGCTGTAGAAACTCGGTCTTTTAGCTTGAGTTGCTACAATAGAGATCTCTTGCCCTGATTTGACGAGTGTTTGGGAGCCAGCCCTACCTCAGAGTTCTCTGCAGCAGCAGCTCAGCCCTTAGCTACAGCCACACCATAAACATCTCCTTTCTGCATACAAATGCCCTTTTCTCTGAAAGGCTTGTGGTTTCTGAGAGAGACTTTCCAATAAACCTTTAGCCTTCAACAGCCCCTCTCACAGATTATATCCAGGGAACCCAATCTAAAACTGGTGTTGTTCTGTCTTTTATAGAAGGAAGGCCTGGCCGGCGCCATGGCTCAACAGGCTAATCCTCCACCTGCAGCGCCAGCACACGGGGTTCTAGTCCCGGTCGGGGTGCCAGATTCTGTCCCGGTTGCTCCTCTTCCTGTCCTGCTCTCTGCTGTGGCCCGGGAGTGCAGTGGAGGATGGCCCCAGTGCTTGGGCCCAGCACCCGCATGGGAGACCAGGAGAAGCACCTGGATCAGCGCGGTGAACCAACGGAAAAGGAAGACCTTTCTCTGTCTCTCTCTCTCACTGTCCACTCTGCCTGTAAAAAAATAAAATAAAATAATAAAAAGAAGGAAAGCCTGCCAAAGTCCCAGGCAGCAGTTGGCTGAGCTAGGCCACTTTAACATCAGATCCATTCATAGTCTACTCTACCACAATTCTGCCCATTTGTTCTCTACTCTAGCATTATGACTGGGGAGAGGATTGAAATCTCCCATCCACTTTTCCTTGGGTTTTCACAGCACCTATAGAAGGCTAGTTCAGCAGATGGAGAAAAATGCCCTTCAGAGGGAAGTAACTAAGTGGTCAGCAGAACAAGAAACTTTTGTGCAGTGGCATTGTTAATTCTATGTGCATCATGAAGCCATCATCTTCCTTCTACCCACCGGGATGCCATAATTGTTTAATGTTTGGTCGGAACCCTCATAGAGACATTTCCCCATTGTTTCAGGTTGCATTGTTCTCTCTTTCTTAATGCAAATATCACTGGATTTATCATGGAGTCCTCAATAGCAAGACAGAAGAATTGGCAAATTTCAGTCTTCAATGGGTTCTGAGGTTAACCGTTGCTGCATGTACTATGCCAGAAAGAGTATGGTTCTGTCAGGAGGAAGAGTTTTGAGTCTGACTAACTCTGGTTCAAAGCTTAGTTATGGGCCCCAATAATTTGAGAATGACTATCTCAGTTATCTCTATCAAAGGAAGGTCATAACAGCCAACTCAGAAGCCAGTGATCAACCCCAGCCTCATGGATAGCAAGCCACTGACATGTCTCCTGATATAGGGAACTGTGTTGCAATATCCTTACCTATGAGTGATTTCTTGCCAAAAAAATTAAAGACTTTTTTACTTGAAAGGCAGAGTGCCATAAAGACACACACAGAGAGAATCTTCCATCCACTAATTCACTCCCCAAATGCCTGCAACAGGCTGGGCCAGGAAGAAGCTAAGAGCCAGGAACTCCATCTGGGTCTCCCACACGGGTGGCAGAAACTCAAGTACTCGGGTCATCATCTGCTACTTCCCAGGTGCATTAGCAAGGAGCTGGATCAGAAGCAAAGTAGCTGGGATACAAGCTAGTGTTCTAATATGGGATATGGACATCCCAACTAGCATGTTAACTCACTGCACCAGAATACCAACTTCTCAAGAATATTGAACCTGAATAAAATCAAGCTTTTAGAACTAAGCTCCACTGAAGAAAATAGGAAACAAAGGAGTATGTCAAACAACAAGACAAGGAAAGAATCATACAAATCCAGAAGGTACTACATTCTACAAAATAACTAACCTAATCTTTTTGTTTTGTTTTGTTTTGACAGGCAGAGTGGACAGTGAGAGAGAGAGACAGAGAGAAAGATCTTCCTTTGCCATTCATTCACCCTCCAATGGCTGCTGCGGCCGGCGTACCACGCTGATCCGAAGCTGGGAGCCAGGTGCCTCCTCCTGGTCTCCCATGTGGGTGCAGGGCCCAAGGACTTGGGCCATCCTCTGCTTCACTCCTGGGCCACAGCAGAGAGCTGGACTGGAACAGGAACAACCAGGAGAGAATCTGGTGCCCCAACCAGGACTAGAACCCGGGGTGCCGGCACCACAGGTGGAAGATTAGCCTATTGAGATTTATTTTAGGACAAATTTGTTTCAGACAAAAATAGCAAATTTATACATATAGCTCCCACATACCCCATATTCAGTTTCTTGTATTAACATCTTATGTTAGTATGGTACATTTGTTTTAACTAATGAGCCAGTATTAATACATTATTGTTCACTAAAATCTCTACTGTATTGTTTCCTTAGTGTCCTCTTACTGTTCCCAGATTCTGTCAGCACCCTACACTACATGGATCCACGATGTTTCTGCTGTGATGTCTTCCGAGATTTTCCTTGACCTGATAACCTTGACAGTTTTCAGGAGTTTTGGTCAGATATTTTGTAGAATGCCTCCCTATTAGAATTTATTTGAAAGTTATATTGATAATATACACTTGATAAAATGCCACTTGCATCACTTTTTATCAAGAGTGTATATTATCAATATAACTTACTATGGTGGCCTTGATGACCTGGATGAAGCAGTGTTTGTCAGATCTCTTCGCTGTAAAAGTAGCTTCTCATTTTTCTTTCCCAACTATACTGTATGGAAGGAAATCAATATATGCAGCTGACCTTGAAAGAGTGGGGACTTCTCCTCCTTGAAAGTAGAGTATCTACATTGATCATGCAGAAGTATTCTGCATGGAAGATTGGTTGCCTCTATACTAATTATTAATTCATTTTAAATCACTTACATTAGTATGGATTTGTAGAGGTTTTATATATATTTGGTATTGTATTGCAATATTGCTTTATCTTTTTGTTGTACAAATTGTTCCAGGTTTGGTCACTGGAAGCTCTTCCATTTGTTCCCTATATCCCTTTGTGTCCTCATCATTGTGGTAAACTTTTTAGCACTTGTTTTTATTTCTAGCATTTCAAAATGCCCCAGGCTGATTTTCTGCTCCATTCTTCAAACCATTAGAAACTAAGATCTGGGCAGTTGTTTTGCTTATTGCCACTGGGCATCATTGCTTCCAGGCCATTTCAGCTGATCAAGAAAATAAAAGCATATTTCCTAAACTACATACATAGGCCATGTATATAGATATATTTGTAGCCATAACCATTTGTGTCTCCATAAAACTAAACACGAGTTCAGACTGATGTCTCCAACTCTAACGCCTTATGACGTAGACCATTCTTGTTTTCTTCCCTTCTTATTTGCATACATCCACCCCAAAAGCAAGAAACCCAGCTATAACCATTCTCTACCCAGCTACTTAATTGTTGAATTCCAGGGTATGAATATAACCATATCATAACTGTTCGCC